TTCCGACTCAGTCCTCCGCTTGGAACTGAGTGCTGAATCGCATCGGGTGTGACGTCTACATTGAACCCGTACAGATGGTTTGCGTTTTCTCTTATATTGGGAAAATGAAAACCGGTTTCATCAGTTGCCTGATGGCCAAATAAATAGCACACTTGTACTCTATGTGCCAGGATCCTTGTTTGATTCCCATGAGGATATGTACAGTTTATGCGACTCAATTTACTGTTTAATTACGCAACACACATTGAAATTGACCATATTTATGCATTTTCTATTCCACGGTTATGTCCTATCGGCATGAGACCGATTGTGGAATTTTTCAAAGGGTATTCCTTCACGCTATTGGCACGCTTGCGTTTGTGATAAAACCCCGAAATTGAATAGCATTAACGCATAACACTCTCATCCCGTGAACGCTTCAAAAAGTTTAGCAATAACTGGGGAAATTGTGTGCTACATCTGATAGTGTGTTAGCTGCTGCCAGGAAATCGAAAAGTGGAAAATCATACATCTAAGTATACGTTTTATTGGAGGTTCCATAGAACCAGCACAATAGCAGAAAAAAGATAGTGAAATGACATACAATATATATAAATAGAATATATAATGTAATCGGTTCAGGGAGCAGTAGTGAGATTAGAGGTAAACAACTGAGTAAAGAGGAAATTATTACCCATTATATTTCATCGTCTAACCGGGAACAAAATTCGTCCATTTACAATTTTTCGCTGGACAATTTGATTTGCGTAAACCTCCATGTTCGGTTGAATCACGACCAGAGTGAAAACCAGTGGCTCATATCGATGTTGTTTGTGGTCCTATCAACCTAGGATCCCTATCATCAGACCGCTCGAACCCTGTTCATGCTGAGCTGAAAAAGCCTGTAAAGTTTAGCACTTCCGTTCTCCATGATTGTTTAAATGATCTTACGAAGTTCGCAATCGAAACAGTGAGTCCGTCTTCTGTGTGTGTGTGTGTGTGTGATATGTTCCTGCCCATTCATCGAATTGATTGATCATAGAACAATCGGTGGTGGCCCTTTGGTAAGGTCACCAATTGTCATCCCGAAGGGCTTGTGTTTGAATCCAGCCACCACCGCCTGTCTTGCCCCGTGATGTGTGTGTGTGTTGTATGACAGACCTTTGATTGACTGCTTCTCCCTTCCTGAAGATTGGATCTTTGTATACTCAATAAAAGGAAGTAAAAAAATAATGAAAAAGGTTCTGTTTTCCATATGGTGGATGGTGGTTGCGATCAGGCCCAAGTAGGTCAGCATCCCATCTGACATCCGATTCCATCGCATTCAACCAGATTTACGCCCTTTGGTGTTTCCCATGGAAAACATGGGCTACACACGTCGTTCCCCCAAGGCATTGGTTGTAACCCTTGTTTCCGAAAGGGAAAAAGAAACATTTGTTTTTTATTTGAATGCAATAGAAATGTTTGCGATGACGGACAAAAAGCACGGGACAGCTGTTTCGTCCTGTTTGGGACTCGTCAGTGGGGTCTACTTTTCTGTCCATGTCAGGACTTGAACCGCAAACACTAAGGGTCGGGACTTAGAACCCCTACACCTGAGCTAAACGGTCCACGGTGCCTCGATGGTGCGTCAGTGGTGCCTCTGGATCATCAAATTGATTGAGCCATTCACACAAGGTGATAACCGTCGACCGTGCATGATAGGGACACAAAACATACACACTGCTGATGAGTCCCAACTAGGACGAAACAGCAATCTCGTGCTCTTTGTCGGTCATTGCAAACATTTCCTTCGCATTCAAATGCATTTTCCTNNCGATCTATCAAGGAGTGAAACTCATACCCGGGAGCATCAAGAGTACCTGATCCATTTGAACAATCGAATGGAATAATCCAAGCTCGATAATCTAAAATTGTTTATTTTTCACATTTGTGAAAAATGTCCACATTTCTATGGGACTTACTTTTCTATACTGATCATCAGAAAATACTGTGTAATAAGAAATTTAAAATGAATAGTCACGATTTAAAAGATTGATTACACTGCTGAGAATGGATTTCAAATCATTTTCAGACCAATTTTATTATTTGGTCTAGTTAAACAACTGAACAGCGAACTGGTTTTTGCCTAGGAACACGAAAATTCAATATAAGCAAGTGAAAAACTGAATATTTCAAATCCATACAACCGCAATAACATACGAGGAGCATTCAACAAGCTGTATCATGGCAACCACTGAAAATGGTTATCTTTTTGCTCTCTGCATTTCAAATTCTTTTCGCGATGCAATGAATCACACCGTTATTGAGAATAACATTCGTAGAATTAAATACCCCGCCCAGTGAAATTTGGAGACCCTTTGTGGTCATTCACTCCGCCCTTCTCAGATCGATTCGCCAGTGCAAGCACCTTTACTCAAGCCATTCTCTATTGGAAATTAGATGGGGCCAGTGACAAGGCAATCCTCTCCAAGCAACTGATCTTTCACTATACATAGAGGTATACGACTAACGCGATAATAAAAAAGCTGTTCAAATGGTTGACCTGAAGTACAAAGAACAGACAAATTTCTCTATCTGCAACATTTCTAAAACCAATCGTGCTTTCGTACGACTCCGTGCCTAATAAACCAAAGCTGCGGCGAAGTGAATAATTTTGCACGGAATTATTTTCTACAAACCATCTGGGAGTAGAATTCCCTTCGCTTTGTTGGGAACACCTGTCATCGAGGACTCGTTTGTAGAGGACTTGAAAGGTTTTCTTTTTTTCTGTTTTGAGCAAAGCACATCACGAAATAAAGAGGAAGAGATTTTCGTGAAACGGATACCCTGATCTATCGTCTTGTCGTTCCCATCTGTTCACACGCTCCTCATTTCGTTAGCTACCTCTCGCATTAACAGTTATAAAAATTTGAACAGGCAAGTGAAAAGACAAACACTGTCAGAGTAATTCCTTTCGTATACATTCATCGGTCGCGTATTTATCACATTGAACAAGATCGACAAATGATGCGACTTAAGAAATCTAGTCATTATAAGCCGCGTGTGTGTGTGTGTATGCGATGCACGTGATTGTTTACAACCAGGGAAGACCGAGGGTAAAGGTCATACGCTTTTGCACACAGTGTGGGTTTGCTGTGAGCGATCGACAATGTCTCGAGTATCCTTAGTCGGTGTTTATCTCGATGGCGTAACAAAACCGAGAACGCGTTCGCAAGATCATTGTAACCAATCAAGTGCATCACACACACAAACACGGTTAAATATAACTAGATTTCTTAATTCGCTTCAATAATCTATCTTGTTCCATGTTATATGTACGCGACCGATGAGAGTATACGAAACGAATTCTTCTCACAGCGTTTGTCTTCTAACTTAACTGTGCAAATTTGTTACGGGATTTAAATGTTTCAGTTATAAAATTTCCCCCGTAACCTACCTGGCCCGATTCCCAACAGAAAAGGAACAGGTCGCAAGTGAATAACGTCAAAAGTTTTGTTCATGAAATAAATATCAGCGACGTTCCTTATTTTTCGTGTTATATTTCATTATTATTATTATTATTATTATTATATTTCATTCCGCATGACGAATAATGTACTCTTCTTAGTGAAACGTGCTTACACAGTTTAAACAAACACAATTGCTAGTATATAAGAAGACGTAGAATCAGTATGCTCGACTCATAGAGACGCCGAATTTTTGAATGCACTTGAAAACTCTCCATATATGTGTGAGCATATATATTATAAGCATATATTTCATACAGTGGAGAATGAATGCAATTTTTGGTGTGTTCAAGGTGGTGACATGATAAGTTTTTGGTCAGATTCTCCAACTTTCCAACAAAGTTTCTTGAATCAATGAAAATCACATGTGCTCTGTGCGAGAAAATGTTATGTACAACAATTTGTTGCACTATTTCACGCGGCCTCGGTGAAACACGTGTGAGCGCGCATAAACAAACACGCTTCCCGAAATGGTTTCTCAGCAATTTCAATCTCTTTTTCTTATTTCATCTCTTACTCACTCGCAGACCGCTCCCCCCCCACCCCGCCGTGATCGATCCTGAGAGCACACAGAGAACTAGAAGTGAATTTCTCTCCCTAATACAACTCGGATTGTTCGGCCTTGTGAATGAGCTGGTCTCCTGGTTGATCAACCGAGGGAAGCATACCAAGTGACTGGTGGAGATCACTGAGGACACTGGGAAATTGTTGTTCAACATGTGTTGAATTGTGTTGATGTGTTGATAGCCTTATTTGTGTTGGTAGTTGAACTGTTCGTAGTAGAATTGTCAGCAAAATTGTCGATTCAGTGCGATTGTGGAAAATTACGATTTTCCTCATGTTGATCTCAAAACTGTTAACTATTTAAATAAATATTAAGCTATCTACTATTGTTGCAAAGATGGGGAACTGGACACACACACGAGTACGTCTTGCTGTCCTTCGCCCGTATGTGTGTGTGCATTGTGAGGAGTAATGGGGCAGGACAAATGCATTAGTTGGTGCTGGCGCGTGGTGGTGTTGTCTTGTCCGTGCGTGCGTGTGTGCGTGTGTGCGTATGTGCGTGCGCGTACGTCTGTCCGGTGCATTCCGGCATCGCACGCATGAACCAAATGCACTGAACTGGCCAAATTGTTGGCTGAGTTTGCACTGGCAGGTACGCACTCACACACACACACACGCACTCGCATACACACACAGACACAAAGAGAGAGACAGGTGCAACCGATCTCGATGATTGGGCCGGCACGTGTCAGGCAGAAAGCGCATGCGGATACTTATATAATCCGACCTCGACCGGATTCGCATCTCAGCTGTTCGAACTCTGTTCATACCAGCACGTATACACGGCCGCACGTACACAAACACACACTCACGTATACACGCCGGCTCAATTCCAAATACAGTACAAGTACAGTACAAGTTTCCTGTGCACCAGGAATGCTTCCCACATTTTCACTGACTACAATCGTCAACTGATTATCGAGTATAGGCTACATCGAACACTGTAGCATGACTTGGACCTCGTTTTGGTGCGGGATTACCACGTGGTCGGAAGATCTGAGTTGGAACGAGATACACAATTTGCATGATCCAAATGTGAACCAATCCCGCCGATATGTGAAATTAAATGTGACTGATGCGACGGAATCGTATAATCAAGTGTGGTGTTTTCATATGGATTTGGTTCTTGTCGCTCTGTTAGCAACCCTTTCCTTAGTGGCAAATATGGGCTTGCTTTATTTGGCCCGATTAACCAAACCACTAGTTCAGATCACACATTCCAGCTTCTCAATGACCGGACCACTATCACCATTCACTATCCCCCCTACGCAAACCAACAATAACAACAACAACAACAACAGTACTGGCATTCAAACAGCAAGTCCTACAAGGAAAAGTAGCTTCTCAGCTCGACGACTGTTGTGCTGTCAGCCTGTACCCAAACTATCTCTCACGGATCAATTCTATAACAGTCTGATGCAAAATTCGGCTAGTACAGCCGGTCTACTGCGCAAGTGCTCATCCTCGGTGAGTATTTCCCGAATGGCGAACAGTTCAATCACCAACCCAGTTGGAATTCCGTCCACAAATGGACGAGCTCCACGAACCCGAAGGCATCGTCGATATTTGAAAGGGTTGTTGGGGCTTTCAGTGAGCAATCTGACAGTGGCATTCAGTCTGTTTTTATGGTGTGTCTGTCATATTACCGAGGACCGCATACTACTACCATGGCTTGCCTTACTCACCGTAGGCAATCACGCGTTGGCTGACATCGCCCAGTCCTTGGAAATCGGTGCAGTTCTGTGGATCGCATTGGAACGAACATTGGGCATTCATTGGCCTCGTGAAAGACGACCATCCAGTCCGAATGTGAACAAAACGAAGCCGGACATGTCGGTGCGCAAACAAATCTGTCAGGCTCTGTGTCCACGATGGTTGGCCCGGTTGAAGCATTCGAGGTTCGTGGTGAACATGCGCACATTTGATCCACCCCGGTGTGTTCTGGCCAAATGCCTTCCATGTGCCAATGATTGTGGTCTCGGGTCCAATTTGGCACTCAAAGCACGATTACATCGAAAATTGCGTTGTGTCACACGTAGCCTGCTCAGTCTGTTCCCTCTGATTCTATTCATCCTGGCTGCGGTGCACAGTACACAGGCTCTGATCAGACCGTTGCTCAACAACCGGAAACGGACCAATTTCAGCTCTGTGTTCTTTCTCACCGAACGAATGCTAATGGAATTACAAACTAACCCGTCTGACGAACGATTTCCGACGGAATGGCGGCAAAATATGACCATCAGCACCAGCACTACGAACAACAATAAGACTACACGGTTTTTCACCATCACCTACTATACGAATTCCATTGTGTCAGCCTTGGTTGTGGGTCAGTTTATCGCACCGCTGGCCATTCTCATCACGACCAATTTGCTCATCTATCGAAAGGTAGGTCGCATAACTACTACCAATCCGAAATCGATTTCATTATCCTCGTTATCCATGCGATCCGATTTGCAAATCACCTCATCCGATTGGCGTAAAAATATATTGCACTAAACTAACAATTACGGCGCTGTGCAGTTTGGTTTGTCTGAAGCGGTAGTTACAAAGATACATAGACATGTAATGCATGTATGAGGTCGGTTGTTTACGTATCAGAAAAGTTGAGCAGTCTGATTGCTCGGACATTGTTCAGACTAAGATAAGTTGTTTGGATAACAGATATCTTTTTATCATTGTGTGCTACGATGATTTTTGCGTCAATTTGTAGACCTGCTTTCCCAAATACTGGGATTCATGAATTTAAAATGGGATGGGATAGGAAGAAGCGATGGACGAGGACGCGCTCAAAATTTTGCACATAAATCAATCTCGTGGAGACCTATCTGCACGGGATAATCACCTGTTAATTTCGGTAAAATACTCAATGATATTCGGGAGAAAAGAATGAACTAGATGTGACATTCGTTATGTAGCTAACCAGACAGATAATCACATACACATACAGTGCCATTAATCCAGTCAGAATGGCCGATTGGGAGAGCGGCATTAGGCAACGACGACCGGAGCGGGTGCCCCATGGTGACTAGATTTCAATGTGTTCGAGTGAGAGACAGAGAGAGTTGAGACGAGAACCAGCAACAGTTATGGAAAATAGCATTCACATTTCGTACTGGATGGATGACGTGTATAGAAAAAAAGAAGAAATAACAATTTGCATGTGAAACCATGTCAATTAGGCCCTAAGTCACTCATTCTCAGTGTTAAGAAATTCATCATACTGACTAATGATACGAAAGGAAGTGCAGACAAGCTCCATTTGCGTATATTGCAAGAGGCAACCTATTTGGTATCAGAAAGTGCCTTAAATCGTGGATTAGGCTAGCCCTACGGTCCCAAAGCGGGACGTTGAAGGCGACTCACATGTATGGCAAATCATGCCTTGTGCGTGTTGAAACTTCATCCGAAGATTCGTCCACCAAATATCCACGCAACGACAGATCACCTGAGCAAAACGAACAGTTTTCAGACGGTACCACAAACCGTACAAGTGATACTAATTTNCATATATCATACAATTGGCCAGATTAGTGGATTCCCAGCTCGTTTCCGACGACCATTACGGAAATAAATAAATATATCGCATGTTCATATCGTTGAGATTAACTTAGCTGCTTATCGCCAACCACTCTTCAAAGAAGGCCGAAAAACGAACATCTTTCCGAATGAATCCTAGAAAACAAAATCAATATCCGACAGCATAAAAATCAGATCTTATTTGTACGGGATCCGGGCACACCGTGTTTTGTGCAATGCCGTTGTCACAACGAACAAGTCAGTAGTCAGTGGAACGTCTAACTTTTCGGAGTGTTTACCGTTTAAATGTGTACAAGAAATTATTCGATGCCGATCGTGTCCGTGTCAAGGTAGCCAAAGTAATCTAACGAATTTATCACATAATGTCGTCTCGCATCGTCCCCCTCCCGCTCCTACCCATGAAGCAGTATATATATTTCACACTTGTCTGAGGACAGACTGTGTGCCAAATAAATCATGGTACAATAATCTTTATAAAAAGAAAAATTTTCCCTGATTGGCTTGTGGGCTGAGTACTGCCAGGTTGCCCAGGCCAAGGCAAGTGAATTTTTTTGAGGAATCCACAACCGGAGCCTTCGGCTAGCCAAAGCCTGACCCGCAAGGCAGCGGGGCGGTGTGCGAAAACCGCAGTCCATTGGGAGCCGGTGTCCAGTTCATCGGATCATACGCCCTTCGGACAGGGTCAGACGTCCAAGGTGCCCAATACACCTCAATGCCCAATCGAGCCGGTGACCACTGCCACAACCGAAAAGGTGTGGGTGTGGTTCGTACGTCCCCTCATGGTTGGTTTGGAATCAGGGTTTTTGGCCAACTCCCCTAGGTGAACTGCCAGTGGTCCACCAACCCGGCTATAGCCCCGGATATCGGCTTTTTGTCCTCTCACTTTGGTGGGAAAACACCTCCACCGCGAGAAGGCAGTGAGTAGCGCTTCCTCAGCAGAGGCTATTTGAGACGCTTGGTCGTATGGGGGCATTTCGTGAGGTGCAAGGGCAGGGTGACCAGCGGCAACCCTAGACACCCACGCCCAACCATACTGAGGCCTTGGGAGGCAGTGGTAATACCTTTTATCCCCGCAAGTTGCAATAAAGCGCATCATATAAGACAGAACTAAACAATTCGAGTAAAAATCGATTCCAGGATGTTTTCTCTATCTAGTATCTTGCTAGCGAAATCATAAGGTTGTCTCGGATAGTGGTAGCTAATTTGCCGACCTCGTGGTTCGAATTCGACCCAACTTCACACATATTATCGTTTCCATTAAACTAAATATCATGCACAATGATAGATTAAGTCCACTGACGAATGTAAGTAACGACATTTTTCACATAGTGTATTTGTGGTTGTTTGCATGACATGATTGAACGAGTAGAATTAGTTATAGGTCTCTGATTGACATTATCACGATTGCTGAACAAGCGTTTTCAACAACTACGAGCTCAGGATAAGCTCAAGGAATGAACTTCTAGAAAGGGCGTAATTTCAGCCATGTTAGTCGTTTGTATCTTTCTGTTTTTATTTTCACTTCATTTTACTGAATACATAAGGACACCATTTTCGGAATTCTATCATATAACACACAACTGGAAAAAGTCAAACGATGGTGATGGGATTCGAGTACCAGTCCACCGGGGTGATAATTTGGTGACGTTACCACCGGGCCAACACCACCTCCAAATGAGGTCAACTTTATCTTTGACCCTCGTGTATACCAATACTTCACATGATTTTACCTGTTACTGTTTGATTGAGGAATACGGATTCCCGATGGAATGAAACTAATTAGATTATTTTCAGCAGTTCTATCATCAAATGTACTCCAACCGTTCATAATTCAATGAAAAACTCCGTTCGTCTTACCGTTCCAAACCACGGTGCTAACGTTTGATAACCATGCTATTGGCTATCGGCCCGGTTTGGACTATTTCTAATGAGGTATGACAGTCATGAAGTTCTTGTGGTGAAAAAAAAGACACTGATTGTTTGTAACCAATGTAAGTAATTCGATGGGTGAGTATAAGTGTTTGCGGTTATTTCATCCTCGGACATTCGTGTTGAAGTACCAGATTTTTACCAGGACAAGGGGTCCAAGTGAGACGTGACCTGGAGTTATACTTTCTTCATCCAGGCAGCCAAACCAGGTTTGATAATATATTTCAGTAAGGGGAGAAAACATGCTAAGCTGGAAAAGAGATAATCAACATTCCAGCTCCATGACCGGATGTTGCACACGCTTTGTGTGACGAACAAAGTGTGAGCAACATCCGGTCATGGAACTGGAACGTTGATTATCGCTTTTTCAACTTATCATGATTTCTTCCCCATAATATACAGTTTGTATAAACTGTGATGTATTAACTGGTAGAAGGATCACCGTAAACGAGCTTGTTCGTTACTCTATTTTGTTACGATGTGTAAGGATGATATATTCGGACAATCCATTTTAGTATAGTGGAACTGGATGGAATAACACAAGCAAGCTTGAGTGCTATGTGTCGTTCGCGTTCTGCTCCAAACGCTTCGCAATTGCATGCCACCAGTTCCCTTTAACAATTTCATGAGTGCAAGAAGAAGCATCGTGATCACAGGAAGGATGTGTGTTGAATTCAACTATAGTTTGTGGTAACCTCATCAGCCATGTGCGCATAGATCAAGATCACATTTTTTGTTAATATAGTGACAGATTTGGGGACAGGGAAGAGAAATCAATCAATATGAAGGCCAAAGGTCACTAATGTGAACCCGGATGAGCATAGGGGCGGGGAGCGGAATCACTGCGGGG